TGCGTATTCGCGCCGGGAGGGCACGGCACCGAACCGCTCGCGCTTTCCCCTCCAGGCAGATCTAAACCTGCATCTCTACGTAACCCAGAGCGTTTTTATGTCTTGGTTTTTGTTTTGTTTTGTTTTTTTCCAGGCTCTCAGCTTCAAGGTAGAAGTGTGAACTTGGGAGTCAGGGTATGAAGTTAATGAGCAAAAATGGTTTTTGGTTGGGTTGTGGGTTTGTTTGTTTTTTTTTTTTTTGCCCCCTCGGGGTTGCTCTGCATCGATGCTCCGGCGGCGCGGACGGCGTCGAGTGCCGGGAGGGTCTTCACTGCCTCCTCCCCGCCGGGGTCTCCGGAGCGAGCTGCTCTGCCGGCACCTCCTGCCGTGCCGCTCCCCAGCGGGGGAGAAACCGTTTGGTTGGGTTTATTTTCTTTTTGTGAAGGAAAAAAAAAAAAATATATAAAATGAGACCAATGAGACGTCGTTAATCCCGCCTAATTTCCAAAGCAAGGCCGTGCAAAGAGCTCAGGTGCGTGTCCGGTACGTCCGGCATCGCCGGGTCAGGGGGGTCAGCGTGGGCGAGGAGGACCACGGTCCGCAGTGTCTCTCCCGCTTCCCGGATGGACAAATGGAGGCAGGGAGATCCGCTTCTGCTGCTGATGCCGCGTCGGCATTTTGGAGGTGAGATCCAAGCGCCTCCCCAGCACACCGCGGTAGCTGCTGGGTATAGCTCGGGGAGGGGGAGACGGAGGGGAGGTGGGGGTTTAACCGCACAAAACCTGCCAGGAGCCCTCCCTGGCACCGCAGGGCTCCCATCGCCCGCCCGAGGCCCTCCGGAGCATGGGAACAGGAGAGGGAATTAAAAATTTATCAGTTAAAAAAAAAATAAAATCATCATTTGGAATAACTTTTGTGGCAGAAATTTGATATTTCAAAGACTTTCATGGGGAAATTGTAGCTGGCCCATCTCTTGGCGCCTTGTTCCCGCAGGCAGGGATTTCGGGGCAAGGTGCTCACCCTGGGAGTCGGTGAGACGCCGGTACCTGGGCAAGGCTCGGTGTCAGCCGGCACCGCAGCGCATCGGCTTGTTGGCGGCTCCGGCAGGTCAGCCCCAGGCTAAGCATCGGCCACCCTGGTCCCTCTGCCGGCTCTCCGCACCCGAACCGATTTCGTTGCCAGGGAGAAGAGGAAAAGTCAGGGTAGACGTTAGCTCGGAAGGGACGTGCCGGGAGACTTACTGCAATGCTCTTTTTAGCCGGTGGCTCGTGCACCGCTGTGCCCGACCGGGCAGGATGCGGCCACGTTTTCCCTCTTTGGCCATCGTTTCCCACAGCTCTTAATTTTCACCCAATTTTTGGAGGATCTCCTCTCCTCCTCCAACCACTCACTTTAAGTTGCCCCCGTTCATTTCATAACGATCATCAACTCTTTTGTACTGGTTTTCCAATTAGAAACTTTAAGAAAAATGCTTGGTTGGGAAAAGTTTATAAAAAAAACCCATAAATTTGCTTCCGTTTTGCCATCATCCCAGTACGTTTTACGCAACGCGACTCATTTCAGCAGGCTGAGCTGGCCACTGGATGCTCGGCGGAGGGCTCTGGGAGAGGTATAAATCCTACCGTGACTTTTTGCTCCTCTCCCTTTGCACCGGCTTGGGGGGAAGCCGGCCCCAAAGCAGCTCTTGGCTCCTCCGCAGCCCCCGGAGCCCGTCCAGGCTCCAGCCGCCGAAGGAGCCGTTTGGCAAAGGGGGCATCCGGGCAGGTTTTGTGCCGGTTTGCGACCGCAACCCCAGGGGTGAGCGGGGCCGGGGGCTGTCCCCGCGCAGGAGGTGCAAGGGTGACAAGGCGGCAGGCTGGGACAGGGACAGGGGACCGGCATCCCGGAGAAGAGCGCCTGCGGGGAGAAAGCCCATCCCTAAAGCCTACGCCAGCCAGGAAACGGTCCTTTCTCCTCCAAACCCTCAAGCCCTGAGCTGGCTCCTGCATTTTGGGGTCAGGGCACTGATGCCTGTCCCCGGGAAATCGCTGGAGCAACCAGTAACACGAGGAAATGCCTTGGTTTTTCCTCTTTCCTTCCACTAAATCACTCCGTTTGAGACTTCAGCGGATTTTCCGCACAGCTCACCCTCGCCTTCTGAGGCCTAGAAACCTTCAGGCAAAATCCCAAAGGATAATTATTTCAGCTGCATCCTTCAATAAAAATCATTTATTCCTATTTTTCTAATTTAAAGCTTTGGCCTGCGTGGAACGGGAATGCATTTTTAAAATGCATTTACAAATTTCGTTTGGTAAAACCCGCCATTTTCTTTAAAAGCAGCAATAATGCATCCTTCCTCTTCAAACACGCTGCGCCCAGGCGTAGGGAAGTCCTTCCCCTCTGCATTTGGGAAAGGTTAACTGCAGTTTTAAAATGACCGTGGCCAGAAATAGTGGAGTTCCCTTATCTGCCGGAAAGGATGCTGTCTGCACCTACTTTTCATGCAAACAGGATTAAGCCTTAAAAATCTGCCTCTTATTCCCCCCGACGCACCTTTACGGGATCCGGGCAGCACAAGCAGGCCGCAGATGCGTCTGCATCACATTTAATATCGAAGCCGGGCTCGCCGTGCCGCCCTCGGCCGATGCCAGCCTACCTTCCCAGCCGGTTTAGGAAAACCGGTTGAGGAACACCCTTTTTTTAAGAAAACCGCCGCCTGCCAAAGCCCTTCAACCTTTCTGAGGGCTGGGTCGTGTCTGAACCGCCCCTCCTTGCACGTGGACCTAGGAGAGCCAGGCACTGCTCGAAGGCGCGTTTTGGGGATGCTCCGTGCCCCGTCTCCCCTCGGAGCCCGTCCTGCCGCAGGCGCTCTTCTCTAGGGATACGGTCCGACCTCCCGGGGGAGACCAACGTCCCCGGGGGCTCGCTGGTCGGCGGGCACCGACTGCCGCCTGGTCCACCCGCCCGCGCCGGCTCTCAGGCATGAGCATCGCCAGGGACTGCTTTTTTCGGCGAGGACGCAGCTATTTGATTTCCTTCCCCCCCCTTCCCCCCGCGCCCGGCTATTCCCGAGCCTG